TGCCATGTTGGTTATTTCTCAAGAGGGCTTTTTTGTTCAATTTGGCAGGGACAGGATGCTTTAAGAGAGAAAAGAAAGAATGAATAGGGACAATGGGGCAAGATGTAACTTCAAATGTAACTGTATATTGTTATTATTATTGTCTAAATTTCTCACTGGTACTCAAGGAGGATTACAAGTATGATAAAACTATGCGGTAAATCAGCAAGTGGATTACAAAATATGATAACATTTGAATCTAACAGAAAGATTTTTAGGCCCCGTTCACACGGAGCATTTGCTGCGCTGAAGGCATGATTGTACTGCGGATTTTCCGGACGCGATCACACCGGGACATCTGGGAGGCATAGCGCAACCGTGGCTAACCAGTGGCTTCTTGCTGAAGATGCGGAGTAAAAAACTACCACATACGAGGTACTAGTTTCTGGAAAACGCGGGGCAAGGGCGGGCGTCTGATTGCGTTTCTGCGTGAATCCCGTGGCATCCGGCGCCCGTCCATGTCCTGTCGCAAACCAGATTTTTTTTGGTAAGTCTCCACAGGATGTGCACAAACGATCATGTGCATGCGCAAACTTCGGCAAGAAAAAAAATCCTGTTTGCCATGGAAGCAGTGCCTAGCGATTGCCGGTGTGATTGCGCCGTGCCGCAGGATAGCCATGTGATCGGCACCTCACGGCCTAACCACGGGACCTTGATGGGACATGTGATCGGGCTGCCGCACGTTACTTTGCTCCAGAGCTAACAGCCACACTTCCCCCCCCCCCGCATTTTCCGGCCCGTGTGACCGGGGCCATAGTAAAACAAAATAATGCAGTGGGGTTGGGATTGAAAAACTCGAAAAAATTCAAGCAAGGATAATTTGTCTAAGGCAACAGGACAATCAAATTAGAAAAAAAAATTATCCCGACTCTCCTGAGCTCATCCATTACATCGTAACTCTCCCTCTCTCCTGAACAATTCCATTCTGTGAACTTTGCAAAATAGGAGAAGCGAGGGGACTTTCCTAGTAGCCTTGATGATGGAAAGTGCCATCAGGTCATAGCCAACTTCCGACACTCCCCATAGGGTTTTCAAGGCAAGAGAAGTTCAGAGGTAGTTTGCCATTGCTTGCCTTTGTGTAGCAACCCTGGACTTCCTTGGTGGTCTCCCAGCCAAATACTAACCAGAGTCAGGCCTGCTTATCTTCTGAGATCTGATGAGACTAGACTAGCCTGGGCCAATAGCTGTAGGCTGACCATAATGTGGGAGCCACCATAGAGACTGCACGGATGGGCAGTTGCCAATTTAAGCCGGGTTGTACCTTCAGAAGGCTTTGCTCAGATAAGCGGAGCTGTTGCAGTAGAACACAACAGGAGAGGCAGTCCTGTAGGTATGAGGGTCCAATGCCATTAAGGGCTTTGTAAGGGACAGCTAGAACCTAACTGAGTCCAGTAAACTGATCAATAACCAATGGCGTATCTGCAGAATGGGAGATTCCACTGATTCCACTTAGCACCTGATAGTAGCTGTGCAGTGCCTTTTCACTTATACCAATGGGAATTCCCAAATTGTCTTTAAAGGCAGACCCATATCGAGTGCAGTAGTCTACCTTTGAGGTAACCACAGTATATATCCACATGGTCAGAACAACTAAATCAAGGCAGGGGGCCATCATCTGAGCTATGTGTAGTTGGTATAATGCCTTTTCTTTGCAGCTGCATTAGTTTGCACCTCAAGTAGTAAAGCAGGATCTAGTGTCTCCGTGCCCTACACTCTTAACTCAGTGAGTCAGTTGCACCCCATCAAAAGTGAGGAGCACCATGTCCTTCAGGACCTCAGCCTTCCCAAACAACATTACCTCCACCTTGTCTGGACTCGGTTTCAACTTGTTTACTCTTATCAGTTTAACGACAGCCATCAGACATTGGTTCAGAATCTCTAAGTGTCACCAGGTGGTTTACACACAGAAATGTTGAGCTGGGTGTCATCAATAGCATATTAATACCCTATTCCAAACCCATGGATGATTTCTATAGACTGAATACCATGAGGGACAAGATTGGAGTCTTGTAGAACTCCACAAGGCAGGTCCTGTATCACAGAAAACTTCTCCCCAACAGTAATCTTGTGAGTCCTGTCCCCAAAGAACTATTTGAATGAATCCAAAGCACATCCCTTAATCCCTGCTTTTATCTCCAGATATCTCAACAGCATACCATGATGCACCAGAATAAAGGCTGCTGTTATATTTAGTAAAGGCAACAGACACGGAGGGCCTTTATCTACGTTTAGACAGAGGTTCTCTACTAGGGCTACCAACACCGACTCAGTCCCATAGCCTAGCTTGAAACTGGACTGAAAGTGGCCTAGGGTAAACGATTTATTTAGGAAAGGTAGAACTTATTCTATTATTTTGCCTAGGAAGGGCAAATTAGAGACTGGGCAGTAACTGGAAACATCATTTTTCTCTAGAGATGGTTTGTAAAGTAATGGACGGATGTGACTACCTGATTTAGAGCACAAGGAAACATGCCCTGGGTCAGTGATTGATTTATAATGGACATTAAGGTCTCATTGATGTGATTTTTACATGCTTTGAAGTACCCAGCACAGGCAAGAGTTTAAAGCACAAGTGTTGGCCTTCACAGATCTCAAGATTCTGTCAGCATCCATTGCAGTAACTGGAAGTGATCAATACTATACCAGAGGCCATAGGAGGGTTTTTTTATCCACATGGTTTTCCTCACCATATTTCCAGTAACTTGGCACCAACAGACAGATACTTTTAGGAACACAGGTAATTTAGGAACTTAGACATATATATCCATTAGCTCTTTTCTGTGCAACCAACATTAAGTCAAGAGCAGATTTAAAAAGGGAACCAAACAGGCAGGCTAGACAAAGAAATTCAGTTGCTTATCTTATCTTGCGTAAACACAGAGCTTTTGAGACCATGACCTTATATCACTGTAAGAATCAATACTTGTTCTTCAAAATACTAAAAGTAAAGTACTGCAATGGAAGTAAACTGGTCAGAACAAAAGGAGAGAAACGATGAAACTGGGAAGTCAGAAAATTGCTTGTGGCTTCAATGCCCAGGAAAAGGGCTCACAAACGCTCCCACATTTCTATCCCCCCCCCGGTTCTATTGCTGTCTTGCTGTGTGTTTCATTTCAAATACAGGAAAGATTTGTCTGGAAGGAAGCAATAGCTAACCCCCAGGCAATGATTAGGGAATCCATTTGGTGAAGTGCTCTTATCTTTGACATACAGTGAGATTTTCAGAAGGCAGGTCTATTGGCAGCTGTCAGAACCAGAGCCTTGAAATTGTCAGATAGGGCCATGGAGATCTTGTACGGCAAAAGCAAAGCAGAAACATGAATTTCAAGAGTTTAGGGATGAGCAGCAGCACAGTGGGTAGAGGAATGCTGAGCCTGAATATTTACAGTCCATTTCTATGTTTGCCACAGCCTTGCATTCCTTATGGACTTTTGATGTAGTTTAAGATTGAAGACAGACACAACAGAAAACACACTATGGTGGTAATGGTCTGCATAATTTGAGTGGTGAGCTTGCTGCAAAAGTGGGGTCACCATGTTTGTGGGAAGACATATATTCTTCCTAAACTGAGAAAAGGGAAATACAATTTTTTTAAAAAGGGGCTATGCACAGTACTGAGTTGCTCGTTGTTGTGACGAGCTGACTCTGATTATTCCTTTTAAATGCCTGGCACAGACTAAAGGGAAGTCCCCTGGTCCAACAAAAGGGGTGGGATGGGGCCACTGATGGCAGCAATAAGAGCAGGCACGAGGCATAATAACTGCCCAGAGTCCTACTGCTTCCTCCCTCCTCCACCCAGGAGCAAGAAATACTTCTGCCTTTATGGCAGGTCGCTGGATTTCCCTTGAAAGGGCTACGTGCAGTGCTGATTGGCTGGTCTTTGTGACAGCCATGAACCCCCCTCCCCCCCATTTCCAAATTCTTCAACCAATTTTTAAAGTTTAAAGTAACTGATTCCAATTAAAATCAAACAAATTAAACTCCAAAGTTTAATCAGAAATACAAGTGCAGAAAACCAGAAAAAAAGGGGACAACCTCTGTGAAATTTTTGGAAGGTGACACAAAAGGAAGAGAACATTACTATTAGATTGGAGGAAGTATTTGCATTATTTGAGGTGCAAATTTAGCTGCCAAATTAATGTGGAAGTGCACAAACACATACACATAAAATATAGAAGTTTTGTTTGAAGAATATGTCCATATGCACATCAAATGAATTTTCTGGGATGTAAATCACTTCACTATACTTAAAGTTTTATGTGTGTCTTTACCCTAAAAAGTATTTTCTGAATATCTTAAAAAAACACTCAAATGGCATTTTGTCCTGACTAATTTTGATATCTATAAACCCCATAAGGTTAATGTGCCGCCCTGTAACCAATTCAACAAGAATACTGAAGACATGAATAGAAACCAATTAATACAATAGATTTTCTTCTGAGAAAGGATATTAGGTCACAGACTTTGTTTTAGTAAAAATAAAACTCTATAGTGTATCCTATGGCACTAAAAAATCATCCAGGTTATGGACTCCATGTCTTTACTATGGCATGGCCTAAATTATTTAAAAAGTGCAATGTTCATTTCAGAAGGCGTTCTTATGTTCTGGGCTTTTGGTTACACTAAATCCTCTTTCTATATGCCCTCTTCTCTTGGAATAAATAAGCAAATAATATATGTAGCGAATGTTTTAACAGCAGTATGATTTTGGTTTCTTCCTCTTCTACAAAGTATAAACTGCAGCCCTTGCTAGTAATTATATTTCTTCATATTTCTTCACATATGCACTGTTTTAGCCTCTTTGTTCCCAAACAAAGGTCAGATATGACTGAAAGCAATAGTGTGCACTTGTAAAATGGCCTTGTTTTTACATAGTTAACTAAAACTACTTTTGTCAGCAGAACTGGTGAACTATAAAAAGCTGTTCAGTGGGCCTTGAAGTCCCATCACACTTTGCTTACCTGAACCCTTGAGGGCAAATACAGGTATATCCATTGACAGCATCCACACACAATGCGCCATGCCGACATTTGTGTCCCACACAGTCATCATCATCAGTTTCACAGTATTTGCCTCTATAGCCAGGTAAGCATTCACATCTGAAATAAGATAAGCAGAGAGTTCAGGAGGATAAAACACGTTCTTAAGAACCACAGTAATGATCAGTTAGACCAAAGAAAATGGTTCCAGTTATGAAGCTACATGAACTGCATGACACAAAAATAAGAAAGATGCAGCACACCTCATACATCTTATGACACACGGATGTATCCTACTACTCTAATTAGTAAAGTTGATGGATTTTGATGGATCAAGGTGCCTCCCACCAATGGCAGGATGCACTGTGCACCAATGGAACATGCCACCCCTAGCTGACTGTAGTGGTATTTATTCATTTGGTATACTTTTATCCTGTTCTTGCTCCCAAGAACACAGGGGGAGTGTACAACATTCTGCCCTACTTCTGCTTTATCTTAACAACAACCTTGTGAGGAAGGCTAGGCTGACAGACACTGGCACAAGGTCACCAACCAAGTTTCATGGCAGAGTAGAAATTTCAACCTGCGTCTTCCAGATCCTAGTGTAATATGCTAGCCACTACATCACACTGGTAGGATTCAATCCCCTGTATTAACAAAATTTCTTTCCCCAGGACACAAAGAAAGGTTGGGTAGAACTTTGGCAGGTACAAACTTGGATAGGCTTCTCAAGTAGTTCATGCAAGTCTATTAGCTCAAAGCACTGCTGATATTTTTTCAGAATATTGGTGGCTTGCCTTAAAGCCTTCACATTCCAAATTGTAGGCACATTGATGAACAAAAACTATTGAGGGTGACTCAGCATGGGTTCTGTAAGGGAAGATCTTGTCTCACTAACCTGTTAGTGTTCTTTGAGGGAGTGAACAAACATGTGGACAAGGGGGACCCAATAGATGTTGTTTACCTTGACTTTCAGAAAGCTTTTGATAAAGTTCCTCATCAAAGGCTCCTAAGTAAGCTCAATAGTCATGGGATAAAAGGACAAGTCCTTTTGTGGATCAAAAACTGACTAATTAATAGGAAACAGAGAGTGAGTATAAATGGGACATTTTCTCAGTGGAAGATGGTAAGCAGTGGAGTACCACAGGGATCAGTACTCGGTCCAATGCTTTTTAACTTGTTTATTGATGATTTGGAGTTGGGAGTAAGCAGTGAAATGGCTAAATTTGCAAAGGACATGAAGTTGTTCAGGGTGGTGAGAACCAGGGAGGATTGGGAGGCACTCCAAAGGGATCTGTCGAGGATGGGTGAGTTGGTGTCAACATGTCAAATGGGGTTCAATGTGGCCAAGTGCAAAGTGACTGACCAAGAGAGAGATCTTGGAGTTGTAGTAGATAATTCACTGAAAATGTCGAGACAGTGTGTGACTGCAATAAAAAAGGCCAACGCTATGTTTGGGATTATTAGGAAGGGAATTGAAAACAAATCAGCCAGTATCATAATGCCCCTGTATAAATCGATGGTGCGACTTCATTTGGAGTCCTGTGTACAGTTCTGGTCACCACACCTCAAAAAGGATATTATAGCTTTGGAAAAAGTGCAGAAAAGGGCAACTAGAATGATAAAAAGGTTAGAACACTTTCCCTATGAAGAAAGGTTAAAATGCTTGGGGCTGAGGGGTGCCATGATCGAGGTCTATAAGATTATGCATGGGATAGTGCAGGTAGAGAAAGAAGTACTTTTCTCCCTTTCTCACAATACAAGAACTCGTGGGCACTCAATGAAATTGCTGAGCAGTTGTGTTAGAACAGATAAAAAGAAGTACTTCTTCACTCAAAGAGTGATTAACACATGGAATTCACTACCACAGGAGGTGGCGGCGGCTACAGGCATGGACGACTTCAAGAGGGAATTAGATAAACATATGGAGCAGAGATCCATCAGTGGCTATTAGCCACAAGGTATAGATAGGAACTCTCAGTCTGGGGCAAGTGATGCACTGTATTCTTGGTGCTTTGGGGCGGGGGCAACAGTGGAAGGGCTTCTAGTGTCTTGGCCCCACTGCTGGACCTCCTGATGGCACCTGGTATTTTTGGCCATTGTGTGACAGTGTTGGACTGGATGGGCCATTGGCCTGATCCAACATTGGCTTCACTTATGTTCTTATGGCTCCCCAGTGAAGATCACAGAATAATGCTACTTAGCTCTGTAAATTACTGAAGGCACTTTGGAAGATCTTGTTAAGTGGGCTGGTTGAGTCAGCAAATGTTGTACTACTAAGCTATTTCTTGAAAGAATGGAATTTTTAAACAATTCATCATCATTTAAGACAGGCAGCTCTGACAGTGAGAAAACGCAAATGAAATTAATCTCGTTCAAGGCAAATGGCTGTAAAACCATTTATTTCCACTCGTATTGTAGAGATAATTCACTTCTTCTGTTTACTTTTTAAAAAAAAATATGACTCACTTTTAACTATTATATTGGAAAAGAAACAGTAACATAATTGGTTTCCCTGATCAAAATATGGCAGCCACTTATGGGGTAGCATTACTTCTCTGCCTTTACATGGTAACTCATTTCTAGATAGACAATTGTTTTGAGGCACCCAACCAACAGCGAATATGGGCTATTTCACTTTTTGTATTACAGTTAAGTTGGTTCTATTAAAGTTGTGTCAGCATTTCCATTATAAACCCTATTTTCAGAGGTTTATTACTCAACCATAAAAAATGTGCTCTAGGCTGAAACTTGGCATTCAAGGTCTCAGACCAGGGGGAGCAGATCTCTGTGGAAAACTGGGCAGTCTCTCAAAATGTTAGACACTATGTTTTGGACAGGGTTGAACGTGTTTCAGCCTATAAACCACATTTCAAACCTCCCAGATGGATGTTACTCTACAGCTGGAAAATAATAACCATATCATCCAAACCAGAACAAAAGAAAAACATCCATTACTTCCTTGGGTTAGCATATGTTAAGTCTTCTGGAGACTGTACTTTTATGTACCTCTGAACTTTAGATGTCAACAGCTTGTTTAAGTCTAATGCTAACTTGTTAACTTCCAGACTGCTCCTCCTTCAGCAACAAAGACTGGACACAGAAAGAAGCAATATGATCAAGAGAAATGATAAGGCAGAGACAAGCACTTCATGTCATCCTATTATCTGTGTGTGCTCAGTAGCCACAAGAATTGTGGCTCACATGGGATCACAGGGAAAAGACAATAGGTTGCAGCTCTCACTGGGCAAAAAGGTTGTGATATAAGCATGGTAAATAAATAACATATAAATTGGCTCATCTTATGTAGTATGGGCCTTGTAGTCATATCTAAATGTCAAAAGTCCCTAATTTGCCACTGTACTTTGATTACTAATTTTTGAATCTGTTGGTGTTTCATGTCTGTGTGACTAAGATGTCAGGGTAATCTAATGTTTTTCAGAAATGATTTACATTTAATTTTCAGTCACTTATTGAAGTGTTGTTCATGTTCTGTCTAATATAAGGGTATCACTTCATAGTAGGTTGTGGATGTGTGTTATCTGTTCTTTTTCTCTGTATTTTATTTTTGTTACATGTAACTATCAGTATATCTAATTCTGAACCTGGTCCCATCTGTGGATACTTAAATCCATGGATTGGGACCAGGTGGAGAGAAGGGAGATTTTTCTGCAAACTTGGGGGACCCAATAGCTTTGCAGAACAGTTTGAAAACTTACTGAAAATGGCAGGGGGTGAATCCCCCACTGAAAGAACTGCTTCCACCACCAGCTCCACCATCTCTGGCTCTCCTCAGCACTGTGGGTGGGTGATAAGGAGGAACCACTGATGCCAACCAGCCCTACTATTGCTGCCACTACTCACCAGCTTCTGAGGCAGTGATGCTGTGTGCTGCAGTGCTGCCAGAAAAGGACCTGTCCCCCACTGTAGGATTTCCCCCACCTTCTAGTGTAGCACCAGCCTTATCCTCCCTGCCACAGCCATATGAGGGGAAGTGGCAGTGCTGCCAGCAGGCAGACTTCAATAGGTGATGGGAGGGCGAAAGAGAGAGGAGGAATGACAGTAGGCATGGTGGGGAGAAAGAGAGAAGAAGTGATAATAGGTATGGAAAGAGAGACTGAGGAAAGGGGTGAGGGGGAAAAGGGGGGGATGGAATGGCCACTCCCATCAGTTCCTTTTGGGTTCTCACTTGTTCCATATAATTGCTTAAAAGCTTTTACTATTTGAAATCTTCCACAAGTCTTTAAAGGACGTATCTGGACCCATGAGGCACAATCTTAGCCAAAGTTGTGGTGAGACTGAAGATTGTTACTACCACACAGTAGTAATAATTACAACAAACTGCTATAATCTCCTTGTTGAAATTTAATGATTGATTGGGAGGGAAAACACAGAACTAATTCAGAGAATGCCAGGCTACCAAACAAGACCCTATCCTATTTCCTTCATTTCTGGTAGGTTGATTATGAACTAATCTTTTTGTGCATTTGAACACAGGATCTCCCAGTTTGCTTGGTACCTTCTGTCCCAAGTGGTGGACAGGGAGGGAGGAACAAGGGAAAGCAGCATAAAAACTCAAGGTCTATTTCCAATCTCAGTTTGAGTGGAATCCCAGCAGCCAAGTAGCATCCAAACAGACGTACAGGCAGAAATCCAAGAACAGTACAAAAAGATCAGCAGATCTATTGTCAGGTGTTTTATATTTCAGACCTTGAAAGGCCCTGGGGAATGGGCACCAGTCCCTTACTTCCTGCTTGAATAGTTGACTAGAAGAGGGAATTATAGGTATTTCAGGCCAACCACAGTCACATCTGGAGAACAGAGAGATAAATCTGCTGACTCAGGTTACTCCCTGGCTGCAAGAACAACTAAGTAAACTGGTAGATTCCTCAAACCTGTAGTCTGAGAGTTATGCAGATGCAACCTGGAACTACTCTGCTGAATTCTAAAACCCACTGCTAAGTTCCCCTGATACCCAAATAAACCAGTCCTGCCCCATCAGCCCTTATCCTTTCTCAGTGTTTGCCTATGAATGGTCTATCCAGCTTTTATCTATTTTGGCCATAGGGGGCTGTTTCTGCACTGGAAAAGACGGGGGTGAGGGTGGGCTCTTGGGGATG